ATCCTTATTTTCGCCTTCAATATGTCCTTTTAACTCGACCTAAGTTCAAATATTATTTGATAAAATCCTCCAACCTAAGTTTGTTTTCTCACCTCTTAACTATTTATTCCTATGACAAGTCCGTATGTATGATCAGATTGTTCGAAATAATTGGTGAGTAAATACACACTACACGATTCAGACAAATTACGTCTTCTTATTGCTTTCATGGAGGATTTCAGTGGTTCTGTCACTGATGTCAGCTCATGATGAAATCCTCCATGCCATCAAACAAAATCCCTATAAAACCAATACTTGAAAACTCTTATTGCTTCGTCTAAATTCATAAAGGGTACTATTTGCTTTTAATTTTACAAGATGTTCTGATGTTTTTTAAGTTCTAATCAGTATGCATTAATTTTAACTAATAATGGAAGGTTCAACGTCCACAGATCTATTGTGTTGGGTACTTGTAATGAGAATTTGTACGTAGAATATAGCTTGTGACGTCTTTATTATTATTGTTTTTTTAAATAATAGCTTTATTCTGAATACTATTTATCTACTGTAGGATAATTTCTCTTCCTCCAGGATCTTCACATGAAAGGTTAACTGCCCAACAGTAGATCGTGTGACATAGTTCTATCTCACCTGAAGCGCAAACTAATCCCCCCTCTTGTGATCTCTATTCTTATTCTCCTTTGAGAAAAACACGGAAATTTTCTAAAATGCCAATTATAAAAAGTTCAGGAGTACATTTTGTGAACGAGGGACACCACTGAGGAGCGCGCATCACATGTATTGGGATAAGTTGCCCCAAAATTTGTGAATATTTTAAATACTCGCCAGAGTTAACTATACCACTAGAGATGGCTATATTTTCCTAAATTTAAACTACATTTTCTAGAGGTATTGCTAAGTAGGAGAGAAGATGGGTCACTTGGGAGAAGTGTGTACAGAAAAACCACATCCACAGGGCAATACACACACTTCCTTAGTTACGTGCCCATTAAATATAAAAAGGAATGTTGTTAAATGTCTTACGAGCAGGGCAAGAAAGATATGTACGGATGACCTCTTTCTTACAAAAGGAATTTGATTATATATTCAGGGTTCCCTGACGGAGATGGGCTATCCGAGTAGTTTCATAAAGAAACATATGAAAACATCAGAGAAAAAACCTGAGACTCTGACTGCACGTAAGAAACCTTTTATTAAGTTACAATTCAATGATGACTTATCAAGTGAGATTTTGATTCCAGAGACTTTCCAGGCGTTTTATGCATGTGGAAACCTATGTTTGTCATTCTCTAGCCGACGAATGATTGGGACGCAAACGATGGATAAGCTACATAGTTTTGCTACATCTATGTGCATTTACCAATTCAACTGCACCTGCAGTGACAGTTATGTTGGGCGTACTACTAGACAGCTTAGCCAACGCGTTAATGAACATCTCCCATGGTGGTTTGGCAAACGACAGACAAAAACAATCCGTAGCTTAATTCTGTCACATTTAATTGATAGTGGTCATGTAGTGGAGAAAAGGAGAGCCTTCAAAGTAATTCATCTTATCCCACCGAATCTTTCCAATGGACTTCGTATTCGTCTACTGCACACAGCTGAGGCGATAGGCATTAGAACTATTAAACCTAAACTATGCATTCAAAAGAAGTTCGTACACAGCCATTATTCCTCCCTTCTTGGCCTATTAAGACATAACCAACTAATGACTTCTACACCACCCCTTGTTTTTATTTTCAAACCTTGTCTTATCATCCCTCAATCTTATCACATCTTCAATAAAAACGTGTCTCATTTACTTCCCTTACAATCTAACGTTACTTTATCGGTTCATTTGTTTTTACTAGCCTTTATCGACTACTTCCCCTTGAACAATTGTTTGTTTAATCATACTGTTTTTCATTATTCGTGTTATCACAGATTGTCTCACTTATAAGACCATTATTATAATAATAATTATTATCATTACTACTATTATGACTAATTGCACAATTTATATTCACCATCTTATTTATTATCCTATAAACAAAATAACATGATCGATGTATATTTGAATTTTTATTTGTAAAGTTATGTGGGTATATGAGAGTTAATCCTGATGATGAGAACTAATTGAAATCACAATACTGTTCGCTTAAATGTGTTGTTCTAAATTTTACTATGGGAATATTTAATATATTGAAATCTGAATAAGAAAAATCCTATGGAATATATCGATGGAAGTCTATGGTAGACCAAATTTTTAGCTGTCCACCGATTCTTGGACAACGGAGTGACGGATTCATTTGCAAAGACATGCAATGGAATATCCTTTTCAAATAGCATAGAAGGTAAAGAAGGTGAGCACAATACAGCTCACATGTGAGAATGGAAATGTCACTGTATTTCTCTACCATCGTATATATCACTTGTCAAATAAACAATTCTGCTATTTTGATAATATTAGATGGTTGGAGGCAATCGGCCACTGAAAGGCTTGGACACCACCTAGGTTTCGGTCTAGCTGGCTGGCACTCACCAATCAGCAAGGTGACTGGTGGCCACATTGCAAATCTGACTGATAGAATTCAGTCTGCACCAAAGAAAGGACTAGACACATCGCACTAGTCAATGATTAGCGTCCAGTTGTGAGCCTGAATAGCTCAGTGGTAAGGTCTCTCTGTGACTGCTGGCGGCACTGGGTGATGCGGAGTTGGATCTCAGAAGGGACATGAGTTCCTTCAAGTCAGTTGCAGATATGCCTTGCTGATTTGCTGATGAATACCAATTAGTACGAAACCTAGGTTATGTTCTATGCTTCCTGTGGCTGACTGCCTCCAATCATGTAATAATTCTGCTATCATATCCTACTGTATATCTCCACTACACTACCGCTTTACACCGGCAGGAACCCTTAACAAGAGAGGGTATATTCTACTGATTCATATGAGTATTTAGAAATCACTCACAGTATTGGTAGCTAGCTGTGTCGAAGTAACCTAAACGTCAGACAACCATTCAACTCTTTTATGAGAGAGAAAGCTCGTCATCGGTGTACCCGGTTCGCCTCAGTTTATACTGTCGAATAGGTTCAAACCACGTGAATTATAACTACCCCCCTAAGGCAAACTGGCAGTATACATATCAACAAATACTCCATCTCGATTGGACACTAAGTAATGACTAACATCATGCATCTGTTCCTTCTTCTTGGTGCAGATATTATTCCGTCAGTGAAGTTTGCGATACGGTTACTATGCCAAATGGTTTTACACCACAGTGTACTCTGAACTGTTGTTAGATGTTTGGGAGGCAATTGTTAGCAGTCATAGAGAAGGCGAATCACAGATCTATTCAGGCTATTCCAGCTCGCGACTGACCTCCTGTAGGACTGTTGCGGATACTTCGATTGAAAACTGTCAGTGTAACTAACTAACTAACTTGACTAGATCGCCTATTATCACCAGTGATATTCCCTGTTGTAGTGAACTGGATTATGCGTCGAACTGTGCTTTGGGAGTGAAGAGACTGGAATATGCTGAATTGATCAATAAGAAGACTCTAGAAGATCTGGATTACGCGTGTGGATGATTTATGTCTGGTATCACATAAACTTGAAGACTCACAGGAGAAAACCTACAAACAACTTGACAGAAGAAGCTGTGCAGCAAAGGCAGGACTTCATCCAGTTGAACATAGGGAAGACGGAGTTGATGTTATAACCAACCAACAGCAACAAGAAGTAGCAGTCACTATCAACGGAAAGAACTTGAAAGGGGTTATTTGCTACAGTTGTCTAGTCAGTCCGGATTATTTCAACCAGATGCAGTGGGACGGATGATACCTTAGCCAGCGAGAATCGGAAAGGCAAGATACACCTTCATCAACTTGAAACCAGTTTGGAAATTTTCTGCTTCACTCAGCCAGTGTCGGTGGCATGGAGATTAGGACTCTCACCGACCATGCACATGGTCGAGGTTTCGATCCCCGCGGACGCATATCTGATATCAATGATCGGCCTACTAAATTTGGGCTACCGATATTACATGCAGAAAATTCTATAGCTGTGTGGAATCAAACTATAATAAAAAAGAAGATTCGGATTTGCGACACCAGTTTTAAGCTAGTCAGTCAGTTAGTGACCTCTTCTAAATGAGTGAGCAAATTGCACTGCGCGTGAATCACAAAAAGCATTTTCAACAGGCCACTGCAGGCTTTTATCATCAACTGACCCCTTCAATGACCTTTTTACTGATGAACAGATGGATGGCTGCCTGACTAGAAAGAATTAACACTAAGGAAATATGACAGCAGACTAACCAAAAACTTATACAGGAGTAAATGAAGATGCGTTGGAAATACGTTTAGGAAGGCGTCAAATGATATCGCACTCAATGCAGGCTATCGCTCTAGTGCAACCCGAATGGAAAACGAGTGACGAGTGGGTTTCTCAGTGCGAGGGTGACATGGAGGAGATCGTGTGTTGGATAGGAGGAGGGGGGAGCGATGAGAGATTATAAGTAATCGTGAGCCCAGTTGAACAGGACAGTAGAAAATAGAAGCAGGTAGAGATATGTTGTCGAAACTGTGTGTGTGTTTCACTTGGAACCCAAATTATTAATAAGTCCCCCCCCTTTACCAAAGACAATATGTTTGAAATTAGCCACCGTCTATTTTCCAATCAAAGCATCCATTACAGTCGCGCAACAGATCAATTGTCAACCAGAATTACTCAGTGTTAAGGTTTATGACTTCAGCATTATGTGGTCCGGATTGAAACTTCAGAAGGGATAGATGTTCCTTCAGGATTTGAGGTAGGCCTTTCTGATGACAGTCAGCAAACAGGAAACCTAGGTTCCAGGCTTCACAACGATTATCTCCAACCATCTGCGAAAACTCGTCACTTGTAGGCATACCATTAACATGCGTACAAAGAAGCAAATCAAATCATTCGACTAATATAGTGAAGGTGGTTTTATAAACAAATTCTTCATAAGCAAAAAAACAAAACAACTTACATTTGTCTTGGCTATTTCACACGAAACAATCGATTTACCATCTTGTAAATGAATCGCAGACGATGAATATCCTAGAATACCGGCTTTTGGTGTGACACAATTCAATGCAAATGCAATATTTGGTGATAGCTTATTAATTTTACGAAATTCTAGCTGGAATCCAGTATAGCCTAAGGAATTTGTTGTCACTGTATTCCCAGTACTATTAACATTCTCATTTACACTGTTCACTGATATCGTCGGAGGGGATGAAGACGACAATTGTTGACCAGTAGAATTCATAGAATAATCATTTGTAATTGTTGTCTGTATCATAGATAAATGCTGTAAGTGTATGTAGAGATTACGAGCGGAGACTTCTGTGTTACAATCGGTTATTGATTCCAGGAGTGCAGTGTAAATAAACGTGTATTCATCTTGTGTTTCAATCATAGAATTCCGTTGCATACGTAACTGATTCACCAGACCGAATATATCAATAACAGATTCACTTTTCATACGTTCTAACAATATATTGATTGCTATGTAGATACCTAATTAAAGGAAGGGGTTGGCGGGGGAAGAAAGGCATGGTATTATAGTATGAATAATAAACAAGTGTGTAGAATTTCACTGGTCCAGAGAGCAAAACCTTATTACGTATATTATCTTCAAGCATTAGAAAAATCTGGTTCAAAGACACGATAGGCAATAAATTAAATTCATTACACGTGAAACCCTACTACAGAAAGAGTATCCATCAAGATTTATCGTCAAAAAACATGAAGGAAAAGCCTCCGTCACCGAAAATCACTACTTTTCTCAAGAAAACTTAGGATTCAAAGGTGACGTTGAGGTGGAAATTCTTAGAAACCGCCTTTTCAGATGTCTGAGGAAGACATTTCAAGCAGCCACCTTACATATCACATTCTCTAGTCTGGCGTTAAGGATAACACACTGCTTGTGGCCACCTCAGTGTGTATATTTATCAGTTGACTTGTTCGTGTGGAGCAAGGTATATCGGCAGTACGCAACGTCAAGTCCAGAAACGTATTCTGGAGCACTATTCAGCTTGGCTAGCCAGAGGAGAAAGGATGAATACTGGAAACTCCATCCTCGAACACCTTGTCAACGCTTGACATCAACTACCCTGCATGAATGCTTCACAGTGCTACACAGAGTCCTTCAGTATCATACAAAGGGACTTTGTATACGCCATGTATACATAGCTGAATAATTGGCTATTCGTGGTCTGAAACCGGACCTCTGCATTCAAAAGTACCACATATATTCACTCACCCTACCATGGCCAGAGTAACTTTCTCACTATGATTTTGCTTCCTTTTATCATATTGCGTTTTCATGCAGATTTTATGAAAATACTTTGTCGTTTTTTCACTAGTTCCCGTCTACTCTACACAATTATATTGAGTAGCCATTTTATCACACTTATTACGGCATGCCAGCTTCTGCATCCTTTTCTAATTTCCAGTTAGTCACCCTTCTGGACAACAACGTACACTACACAATATATTCTCGAGGACAGATTTTACCAGTATCCGATTGATCTCATGAATTCTTTGTTAAATACAAATTCGACTGTACAGCAGCCTATAAAAATGAATCATCGAAAAGAAAATTTTTCATCCTGGGAGTAATGGACAGCTGTTTCGTCCTAGTTTGAAAGACTTCATCAGTACGCACCTACCGGGATTTGTACCCAGGACCTTCTGGTTACAAGGCGAGCTTGTATTCCATTAAGCCACTGGGACTCGATGCAATGGTCAGTCCATCAATTCTAACTTCTGCCAATTCACGACATAGCGCGACCCCTACCACTAAGCCACACTGGTATACGATCTTGCCTTGTAGCTGGAAGGTCCTGGGTTCGAATCCAAGTGAACACGTACTGATGAAGAGTCCCAAACTAGGACGAAACAGTTGTCCATTACTCTTAGGTTTTCCAATGGTTCTCTAACTAATGTCAGCTCATGATTAAAATCCTGAAACCAATCAAATCCCTACAAACAAACACTTGAAAAATGTTTTCTGGTGTTTACGTCTTTTTCTTATACAGAAGCAGGTGGTAAATGAGGAAATGAACGTGAATGAATCAACTTTACGAATATAAGCTACACTCGTCTTATCAAATAGCTATCCAAAGCTTCAAAAAATCCTTTCTTCAAATAAATGTAGTGATTTTCATCAATTTTATTGTGAATTTTGTTACAGATAGACGTCAGTTAATAACCGAAAAACTAAGGAGGACTAAATATCTGTTTCGTCATGGTTTTGGATTCTTAAGCAGCGGTGGGCGCCCATAACTTTCCAGATAACTTACGCTTCTTAATTTTAGTTATTCTTGGTAAGATCTACACTGGAATCAATCAAATTCTCCACAAAATCCAGCTCATTATTAGCTGCACGATCAATATCCTAAAGTTTTAATGAGAAGCTGTAGCCAGTGAGATCCTCCACTGGACATGTGAAGCGGATGCTCATTTGGAACATCAATTGGTGTAAGCCTATGCTGTAAATGTCCAGAAGTAATGATTCCCGGGTTACTGAATCTTCAATAGGTTGGACTTGTTACCTGGAGGTCTGGTGGATTTACCAGTGTGTGTGCTGCTGCTGCTGCTGAAGGGTCCCAAACTTGGATGAATCAGCTGTCATAGGTGTATTTAGAATCAAATTTACTTTAAACAGAAGTCTTTTCTAGAACAAATGAATCAATAAGCTGTCCAAGTGAATACAATTCGGATGAATTCAAATTTAGGTTGTATTTGAATTCATGTTCATATGTCCATTCTATCTAATTTAAGAATAATTTTTCTCACCTATCCAAATATGTTTTAGCATTAGTACCAGTCTACATTTTCAACCAGTGAGGCTTAACACATTGTTGAGAAACGTAACATCAGGCCTATTAGGAAGTAAGTGACTAAAATGTTCGAATCCCAGTGGATGCGTGTTGATGGAGAGTCCCGAACTAGGCTGACGAAACAGCTGGCTGTCCACACTACTCCAGTCGTAGTTTTCCAATGGTTCTCTAACCGATATGTCAGTTCATCATGAAATCCTATAATCAGCAAAAATGTTTGTTTTGTAACATACCAGTTCTTCCTGTACCAGAGGAACAGTGAACAACAATTGGTCCACAGTCAGTTGGAGTAATTGTACCAACACGTCTAAGAAACATTAAAAATACTGTTGAATAAATTGGTACTCCATGATCAGGCCAGCTTGTATATTGTAAATGCCAGATTTTTCTATGTTCACTGGGAAAGCCAACAAAAAGTTAGCAAAAGTTAGGTTTAGAACTTCATTAACAAAATCAACATTGATATTAAATATGGTTGAAAAAACGTATCCCGAGGACATGGGCCCCAGCTGTTGTCATTCTGTGCTGACCAACATTTGTCAGACGATATCAGCAGGGTACTCAATAAGCACAGCATCAGAGCTTTCTTCAAAACATCAGACACACACACACACAAAATACAAAGCAACCTTGCCCATGTAAAAGACAAACTCCCTGAGGATTCTCAATCTAATTGTGTCTATAAAATAAAATGCTTGCTTGGAATGTAATGCGGTATACATCGGATAAACGTCGCGAGAAATCAAAATCAGAAGAAATGAACACCGTAGACCCACCACTGTTCAACCACCAAGAAATCCAGTTAGTGAACTAGAAAAGCTTCAAACATCATCAGTCATAGGTCGTCGTCTACACGCGACACTGTAGAATCAGGTCACAAAATTGATTTTGACAATAATGAAATGATCCAGAAACATTTCGGGAATCACAAAGAACGTCTCACTTCATCAGAAGCACTTCATATCATCAAATGGAATTTAAACTATCTGAACTGGATAGGAATGATGGACTAAAACAGAATTTAACCTGTCTGTCTGTCTGTCTGTTTTTGACATAGAACTTTGCACAAATGTGCGGCAGTTCAAGTCGCCACACTCCCTACATGTAGCACATAAAGCAAGAGAAGAAAGTACAAGAAAAGCATAATAGAGACAGTGAGCAGAGCTGTGAGACAAAGGAAGAGTAATAACGAAGAACAAAACAGTTTCATTGGAAATCATAAGTCACAAGGAGTGGATGCATCTGCGCCAGTCATTGAGAACGATTTTGAGCCATGTCACCAATTGTTTCCAACCATAGATTTTTACCGTCCCGAGGACCCCAGCCTGGAAGTCTACACCTTCCTACGTGGCTTAGACCAACTGTTGTGGATTTCATTGACTGGTGAAGCCAAGATTTTGTTTGACCGCCGCTAGCTTTTTTCCAGCCTGACCCTATATCCGCAAACATTGCTCTTCGAGGGAGGCGATGACTTTTTGACCTGGTTACAACACCACCCCCCACTGGTACCCCATGAAGTGACAAAATCAAGACGGATGTGATAACACAATTTCACTGTGTAAACACTTGCTGCTTTTATAATTTTACACGCTAATCACATCCAATAATCTACACATGGTTTCGTTGTCTCTACCATCTGACCAACTTGGCAAGTCAGAAATTACCTCATGCTGAAAAAGGATGATTAAATTGTTGTATATGTGGATTATGTTGTTGAGTGGATTTTGTAAATTCTGGTTTAATAATACTACTACTTTGATAAAGCTATTAGCAGCAGCATTAAATAGCGAAACGTCTGTAAAACACAACAATATCGTTTTGTTTTTAATTCATTGGAAAATACAAAACAGAACTTTTATAACAATGAGAAGTTCGGTCTTTTTTTTAAAATCCTTTACCTTCCCAGTGGAACATAGGGCTTCAGGCTAGAGTCTTGAAGTTTCCATAGCTGGGATGTTTATTTTTACGGGATGAGGTTGCTAGCTTCATGTTCAACCTCCCGTCTTTACCAGTCTTACCACTCACTGGCTTAGTGAGGTAAACGAGTGCGTACAGTGACCGGGAATTGAAACTCGAACAACCTGCATGGTCGGCAAGCATTCTACCGTTGTGCCACCGATGCACAGGTTAAGATCTCTATTACAGCAGGAATATGTAGTGACGAATTTTAATTATGAAAAAGTTAGAAGTCTGACTATAACTTTTCGAGTTAGACGACGGATTGATATCAGTTAGACAGCCAATGAAAGCCAACTCTGGCGTACTGGAAAGTACTGGAATCATCGGCAGTAGGCACCTACACCACCAACGGGGTTCGAACCCAAGGACCTTCTGGCTACAAAGTAAGCTAACTCGTAAACTATTCAGCCACTGGGACCTGACTTCTCAGTGGCCAGTCCATGAATTCTGACTTCTACCAATTTGTGATGTATTTAGCGCGACTGCAATGGGAAATCCATTCTCACTCCCGACTGGATGACTTCTGACTAGAACTAACTCCAGATAACTCCATCGTGTAGCAAGTCACTAGAGATTACAATTTGCCTTTCTTGTAATATTTATTCTAATGTCAGTATACCGTTCACTTCTGTAGATTGAAGCAAAAAGAACCACCTGACACACACACATGCACACACAAAACTGATTTATATTCACTGAACATTGAAAATTTCTACTGAATAGAAGCCTTGGGGTGGGCGTGGGTTCTCAACTGTGTTAAATTCTATTCCTCATAATTGATTTTTATCCGGTATGTCTGAAAACATGATTTGAATCGGCACGAGTAGATTTCTGTGCACGGAGAGCATGAAGTCCTCGACAGTCGCCTTTGGAATTCAAAAATATTCCGCCTGAAATGTGAAACTTCTTTGACATTATCCATAATATTTAATTCAATTTTAGATTTTCCCGTCGATCGATTGACTGTTTGGACCTAAGTGTTTGGTCTCAGGTTGACATGTCAACTCCTCCTTGTGCAGATGCTTCGACAAAGTCTGAGCAAGTAATTAGAAGTCAGTTGGTGAGTGTTGACTAGCAGTGGAATCCAGGATAAAGCTCATTTCGTCTTATTTGGGATCGCCTCGACAACTGGATGTACCTGCATTCCTCAGTGAATAATGATGTCTAGTGGATAACCCGCTTTGGTGTTTGAAACTATGGGCACTGTGTTCGAGCCTCAGTGTTGGGGACAGCATCACTCACTCACTGAGGAATGCAGGTACATCCAGGTGAAGAGTCTTAAATAAAACGAAATGCGCGTTATCCTGAATTCCACTGCTAGTCACCATCCACCAAGTAAACTGTCCATAATAGTTAAAAATGCAAGCATAATATGTCATGTGGTTTGAATTGATTCTTCCACCTGATGAGCTACGTCAGTGTAAGTAAAGCACTGGTGAGTTCAGTTGTAAACGAGTAAAACTACCATTCGGGATTTCGACCACTTTGGTCTAGCTAGCAGGCGTTACTACTATGTTCACTGATCAGTAGGAGTATATGCTTGGTGTATTTAAGACCAAAGAAAGCAAAAATAAAAAGCTGACAGAGTTCACTGATTGATGCAAATGTTTTAAATAAATTGAACCACTCCACTTATACTGTCTCTGATGAAATCGGCACCAAAGATTTTTAAAGTGGTCTACTGGTGTTTATATCAAATCATTCTGATTAGCGAAAGATGCTACTTGAAGAACATGACTACCAGCCACTCAATCAGTATTACATACCTTGTGTATTCTAGACCATTTGCTATTTACCACTGACTTAACTATTTCAAAGTAGATGAAGTAGAAATATAAAATGTCCGCTAATTAAACTCCAGTCACATAACCAGACACTGTCGAAGCATCTGCACAAAAAGCCGACAAATCAGCCTGCTACCGAGCACTTCGGTCCAATTATTCGATGGACGAGAAAGCTTAAAATCGAATTAAATAATTAACATCACCCGTTGCACAAGAGGCAGCGTGGCTCTCGTGGCCCGAGTAGTCTACTGGATAACGCCTCGGTGTTTGAAACTATGGGCACTGGGTTTGAGCCCCATTGGTGGCAACATCATTGCTCACTGACTGGAGAATGTAGGCACATTCAGCTGACAAGTTCTAAATAGAACGAAATGCCCGCTATCCTAGATTCCACTACTGCTAGTCACCATCCTCCAATCCTGGAGAAATGTGGCAAAAATGGATTATTTGGTCCATTTTGACTAATTTAGGGAATAACTTCAAGGAATTCATGTCGAATCTAGTTACCAGTAAACGCTATAAGTGAAAAACAAAGAAATACATTTCTAAAGACCTGTCGAAAGACTAGTGAACATAAACGTGATAATGAGTTTTATTAAATTAAATAACTTTTTGCAATGACTAGAAAACGAAAAAAACATATTTGTGAGTGTAACTTTCTTTATGAATTGAAATCAGTGCCTGGAAAGACAAAAGACAATTCTACTACAGACTGGCTGACAACTGAAGCACAATAGACCATAGGTAAAAGAGACTTTAGATTATTATATCAGATAACCGGGACTTTATCCGAGGAAAGACCAACGCAGCATAAACCTGTAAAGGATGGTCAAGGGAACCCATATACCAAAGAAGACAGGCTAATGAAACAGTGGATTAATCACTTCCAAGGACTTTTGAACCAACTACCAAGAAATATCGTCAACAGTACGCACAGAACTGCCTGCCAATGGACACCATTCCACCAACAGGGTCAGGCGAAATCCTCCCCGGAGCACTTGGAACAGAAACTGAGAATGCAGTGGATATGCTGACGCCAATATTGCAAACTGTTTGAAGGAGGGAAAGGTGCCTGCTGATTGGAAGAAACGCTAGCTATCTTGTCAAACTGTGAAAGAAAGGTGACTAGGGTCTCTGCAAGAACTAGGGCAGAATGATGCTCCTATTCACTCCACGTAGAATACTAAGTTTTCTTACTCCGAAGAGATTGAAAGATGCACTGGATGCGGAATTCCGCCAACAAGGAAAAATGTGGATTCAGGAAAGACAAATCATGTACTGATCAAAGTGCAGCTCTGCACAACATTACCATCACAGAATAAAGCATAGAATGGCAGTCACACCTCTTTCTACCTCAACTTCATAAATTTTGGAAAGGTCTTTCGAAAGCGTTGACGGAAAAGTAATTTGGGAACACTACGGCCTGCTCCAAATCTTTATCCATCCCCACGTATTTTGTAGATAACAACTTTGAAGTTGGTTTGTGTGTTAGTAATGGTGTCCAGGTTCGATAAGGCGTTCCAGGAGAGAGATGTTACTGGGGAGGGAGGAAGGATCTTTTTTCTCCTTTATAAAAACCATGACTGTGGGTAAGTGTTCAAAGATCCGTTCAGGGTAGCAAACGCTGAGTACGGCCGATATATCTAGCTTCACACTTCAGTTTTATTGTTTGATCAATCTGATCTCTGTCAACCTGTCTGACGACCAGGCTTCTAGGAATTCCCTGCTGCTTTTTGTATTTTCATTGTCTAAGATTTTAAAACACTTTCAATCGGACTAGTGTCTTCACTTGTCTGCATTCCTTGATGTGAGGGAACCAATGCCATATCGTTTGACATCCAGTTTACATTGGTGAATACATAGATGTGTAGAATTTTTTTCGTAATTATTGCAATTCACATTGTTGTAGATGACTGTGGTTGTGTTTTTAGGTTGAAGGGATTCTGTTGCTTTATATGCCCGCAATGGCAGGGACATTTATATCAACTGGTTTTAGCAGTTTTGCAGGGATTTTCAAAATACTGTTTTAAATCTAATGCATCAGCCATTTTTAGTTGATGATTTACTGGCAGGATTTAGGTAAGGCAGGTAAGTAGACATCTTTTGATGAAGTTCCATGGATATTCACTGATGAAGAAGATTGACAATAACGTCTCAAATATCATGGCTCTTTCCCAGCTATGAATAGATATACAACACCGAGTAGGTTTAGTTGTATGCTTGTCATTGACAGGTATACTAGTCAGGTGAGTGCATTTTTCTAGAACAATTATTTCCTACGAGTGGTTGCAGGATTTCGTAGTGAGCTGACATCAGTTAGAGAACCTCTGGAAAACCAGCACTGGAGTTGCGGACAGTTGTTTCGTCGGCCTAGTTTGCGACTCTTCATCAGTACGCGCACACCGGGGCCCGAACTCAAGACCTTCTGGTTATAAGACAAGACCATAGGCCATTAAGCCTATGGCCACAAATTCCAACTTCTGCCCATTCACGATATAGCGCCAACACTAGCCAATTTCTTCGGAGAGTATTTGTCCTCACATCCGGCCCGCTGTACCCTACCGGTCATGACTTCTCACTAGAACCTATCCAGGTAACTACCTACCTGAATAGGAACGGTTACTAGTGAGAATCTCATTGATATTCAGGTATTAGTTTGTAGCGATTTTATTGATTGGTTACTGGCTAGGTGTAGCGCTATGTCGTGAATTGTCAGAAGTTGGAATTCATGGTCCATTATGTTGGGTCCGTATGGTTAAGTGGTCTACGAGCTAGCTCTCCTTTTAACCCCAATGTCGTAGGTTCAATCAAACCCTGTTGGTGAATGCGCACTAATGAAGAGTTCCAAAATAGGCTGACAAAACAGCTGGCTGTCCCCTTCTCCTAGCTGGTTTTCCAATCCTTCTCTAACCGTCGTCAACTCACAATGAAATCCTGTGATCTTTGTATCAGAGCAACAATTATTATTATTATTATTATAAGACCACTACAAGCATTATTAGCACTTGTATAACACAACACATGTGGGCGTATTTTACACATTTCTGTCTACAACGCGTGCAACAGACGTATACAACATCAGTACTAATGAGGGATTAATAATAATAATAATAATAATGAGAGTTATTCAGCAGTTTATTGTTGTTTTTAAATTATTATTTGTTTGTTTTTTCAGTAATATATGTATATATATATATATATATTCCTCAATAATGCTTATTTCCCTCACATGCAACATCACATTGCTAGACAAAGTCTGCATTCATGAATTTACTATACGCATATTTTTTCCGGTCAGCTGAAATTGTTCAATTCGATGTTTAACGTGGGAAGAAAGCAGTAACTGTTAGTTAGACTTTAAGATCGCTCATTCTTCATTTTTTCTAAAACTTTATTTCAATGTTCTTAATTAATTACATTATCGGTGGTGTATGTAACAGATCACAGAATTTCGGCAATGTGGTAAAGGATAATTCCATAGTAGTAGTAGTATAATTATTCCCTTGGTTTCCGAGTGGAACACATGGGGCTACAACAACACATCTACACTTTCTTATATTTTTTTTGTTGTCCTCTTCAGTTGCCTGGGCACACGATTAACCATAATCTCTCATTTTCTCCTCGTCCTCCTCCTCCTACCCAGTACACAATCTTCTCCATGTCATCATCCTCTCACTGATGAACCATTCGTCACTCACTCTCCATTGGGATTCCACTCGAGAAATTGCCTAGCGTGCGATGTCATTCGATAGCCTCCTTTTTGGCTATATGTTCAATCCATCTCTATTTTCTCTTACACATTTGCTAAGCAATCGGCAAAATACCACTTAAACGCCTTATTATCAATGCACTATCGATGTATCCTGTAAACCTGTACTTTTCAAAATATAGAGGCAAGATTAGTGATAAGCTTCAAATCAGGGACTTAATTTAAGCATAGCTGTCAGGGAATCTCAAACAGAATAGGTTCCAAACAGCTACGAGTGGGAAATACAACAGCATATTCTGTACTAATGCGCATCACCCTAAATGACTTCAGCGACTCAGACATTGACTCCTTCATTACCAGGGAATAATCTCGGCGACTCAGAATATGCTGATGGTATATTCCTTCTAGGTGACAAAAGGAAGAGTCTTGTGATCAGTTGCAGCAGTGAACAGACTGGTAGGTCATTCGCTTCCGTCAAATGTAAGATGAAGCTACATGACTGGAATAGACTACATCGATTCACTCCTAGATTAAAGATAAGAAGTGAAGCGTTGGCTGAGAGTGTTAATGACTTCACATATTTGCAAAGTTGCATCAGCCATCGACAACAGGCTGACTAGTGACGATTTATCAATACGGATAGAGAAGGCTGGTTTGACATTTGCCTGCAAACTTACAACATCTCTGGTTCAGTAGATGTGATAACCTATCGTGGCTGTGGGTGACAGGTGGCTATCATTGAAAGTGGAAGGCGTGAAAATGCCAACTACTTGGCTGTCTTGGATTATAGGTGCCTGTCTGCTATCTATCTCTCATGTGTTTTAGGTGGCGTGGTATAATATGGTGACCAATATTGAGGTGGGGCTTCAGTCAACTGAGTGCTAGGTGAGTTGAAGGAGAAATCAATCGATGAGATTGTGTAGTGAATTTACATGTATTGAGAGAGATAGTTAGAACATGTGTTACGCATAACTAGCCTAGCTTAGCCATTGATTGCCTTCCTCGATAACGAGAATTGTCAGCCACTGACATAGGATGAATGAGGTTGGAAAAGAGTTGGCTAGTTGTGGTCAAACCACAACACAGATTCATCAATCAATGAAATAAATCCATAAGAGTTAATTTAAACCAGTCAGCCACATAGGGAGGTGTGGACTTCCTGACTGACGAGCTGTGGCCCTCAGGATGGTAGGAAGCAACCAATGACGGTGGCTGGATACAATTGGTGATATGACTCAGAATCCTCGTTGTCAATGATAGCGCAGATGCATTCCCTCTTTGTGATTTATCACATCCAATTAAATCCTATTCTCCTGCCATAATACACTTCTTTTCCCCTGACTCATACTTCTCTTTTTTACCCCTCTGTCTTTTGAATCTCTCTTTACTCTCTGCTTCCACTTTGTGTGCTACATGGAGGGAGGGTGGCAAATGGAAATGGTGCACACCTGTGGAAAGTTCTACGTCAGTCAGTCAGATGACGTCAAATTTCCATCGATGTCTATGCCTCAAATGTATTTTCATCCTTTTCTTTTTCTTTTTTTTCTTTTTGGTTACAGCTTGATTCCACACCGTATTTTTGGTACAAGTGTGGAATTTTCAGCGTGGATATCGGTAGCCCAAAATTCGCAGGCCAACCATAGATATATACTTGGAAATGAGAAAATCTGAAGAAAAGGTGTTTTTTTTTCAAATATTCTTTTTTTATTAATTCTGTAGCCTATATTACATAAAAATATCCTATTCATAATGTTTCTCAACTCACCTTTCTTTGCGTAATTCAAAACTGCGGATTGTATAATTTGCCAATTCAGTTGTTTCTAAATGGGTTATAATTAAATTTGAAAAGATAAGCGTTCCACTGATTGTTGGCCAATACTGATCACATTTAACTTGACCTTTTTCAATAATTTTACTCAGCATAACAATTACACTTGTATTCTGTTCCCATACCATTGTCCAAAAATCTTCAAATGTATTCGGTAATGGAGCCTAGAATTTAAATTAAATTAAATTAAAAAAAAGTATCTTCTATAGTTTGGTTTGTAAGGGTTGGTTTTGCTTTAACGGGTTGATATCAGCTAGGGAACACAATTGAAAACTAGTACTGGACTACTGAACAGCCAGATATTTCATAAGGTTAATTTGGGAATCGTCGGCAGTACCCACCCACTGGGTGTCGAACTCCCGGGACCTTTCGGTTACAAAGCAAGCTCGTATACCATTTAGCCACTGGGATTCATTGGCTCATGAATTCTAACTTCCACCAATTCTTGATTTAGCGCGACCCCAACCATTGTCGTAGGTGGGGAATCCATACTCACACGGAACATCTGGATGAACCTCACTGGTCACGACTTCTTACTAGGACTCCAGGAAACTCCATCCTGTAGCAAGTCACTACTAGTGAGCATCAGATTAATTTTCTATAGTTTGGTTTGTAAGGGTTAGTTTTGTTTTTTATGGGTTGATCATGGATTGATATCAGCTAGAGAACCATTATGGTCTGATTACGAAGTGGTGATTCAAATTCACTCGATATCAGGTAAGTTTAGTAGTACAAGAAAAGACCTAAATGATGAAGTAAAACAGATAGAAGAAGCGTTGGTATCAAACAACTATCCCATAAAATTCATTAGAAAGATTTCATGCAATTCTTCCCATTAATAAACTTGAACAAAGCAAGAACAACAATTGTACCAGGATAATATGAGCTTATCTTTAATTATTATTTCGAGGATTCTTCTCAACTGGTTACAAACTGAACGATAAAAAATATGAATTACATTGAAGATTTGAACATACTTTTCCACGATCATAAGAAGTAATTGGTAAAAATTAAAGGTAACATTAGTCCTAATCAGTTAAATCATTCCGGACTAATGTTACTTTTAATTCCTACCAATTACTTCTTATGATCGTGGAAAAGTATGTTCAAATCTTCAATGTAATTCATATTTTTTATCGTTCAGGTTGTAACCAGTTGAGAAGAATCCTCGAAATAATAATTAGAGATAAGCTCATATTATCCTGGTACAATTGTTGTTCTTGCTTTGTTGAAGTTCATTAGGAAGATCAGAAAAGGCCAAAATCAAAATCAAAACAATTGTGAAACTAGTAATCATAACATAAATAAGAGAGAATACAAGTCATCTACAGTTATACCATATGAAGAGGGGACATCTGAAACCCTACGTAGGATTCTAAATAAAGCAGGAATTAGGGTGGTATTTAAACCTACAAACTCACTCAGGTAGGACAAGCTCTGTAGGTTAAAGGACCCAGTTGACCCAATTAGACGAAATAATATAATTTACAAATTACGTTGCAATGACTGTGAGGTCAACTATATAGGTCAAACTAGTAGGTCAGGGGTAGTCAGACTGTCGGAACATAAGAATTTAGCTAAGGTGAGAATGGTTGACCCTGAAAAGATATGTAATTTAGAAAAAAAGGTTAGCAATTGCAATGCATGCATTAACACACAACCACACAATAGGGTGGATGGGAGAGGGTTAAAATTCTAAAAAGTAATCTAGGTAGGTGAAGAGCGAGAGAAGTTGGTTACTCAATCCTTGTTCGTCGAGTCTACATCCATCACGTGCAATAAGAATAACTCATCACTCATACCGAAAATATGGGAAATACTACTACCAATCAAGTCAAACGTTGAAAAATAATGGAATCATATAAACGAAGTTAAAAAGTTGTGTGAGTAGTGTCTTGATATGATTATGAGCTGCAGTAATAAATTGTGCTCGAAACGTGGTCATCAGTAAATATTACTTACTGTATAACACTGTAAGACTTTATCAAAATAAATTTGACCCATAATGGAATTATACTCTACCACACTGGACAAGTTCTATTCTTATATCAATAATGCTATCCTCAAGAATAAGAAGGATATGTTCCGGAGACTTAATCGATGGTGAACTGAAGCGGCTCAGACAAGTCCTCATAGGGAATGGATATCCTCCAGGAATTATCGAGAAAAGCATGAAGTTAAAGCAAAACACTGAAAGAACGAAGACGGTACGAAAGAAATTGCTATTTATGAGTGGTGAATTTAAAAATGATATTGCAACTGAGATCCTGAAGAATCGTTTATGCAGATCACTGAGAAAAGCCTTCTTTACAACTGAGTTACGGATCAGGTTTTACAGCCGACAAATGATCAATGAATGTGTGAAGGATAAACTGCTGCTTATTTGGGCCATTTCAATGTGTGTTTATAAAGTCACCTGCTCCTGTGGAGCTAGTTATACTCTCCGCACAAAGCGCACACTTTCCAAATGCATCTCTGCGAATTATCCGGCATGTTTAGCAAAACGACATTGCGAGGCAGTTACTAGCTAAATTCTCGAGCACTTGGCGTGAACTCAAGCCACGTAGCTCCACCAGAGTCGTCTTTCACAATTATTTACAAGATGAGACCAAATGGTACAAATGGCATTAGGTTGCGGCATTTGTGTATGGCGGAGGAGTTGAAAATTCGTCAATACAACGCCGAACTCTGTATACACAAAAAGTTTGTCCAGTCTCTTATTCTATCATAGTCTTAACCTCTTCACTAGTCGTTCCCTGTAAAATATTTTCAACTTTACTTTGAGTTTGTTTTTACTATAATAACTGATTCACTATTATCAATCACATATGTTCCTTTTGTACACCTTCACACCCTCTTCACACTTGTTGAGTTGACACTCAACTACCACCACATTTCTTCTCATTCAATAGCAATTTTAAACTTATCAAATTTCTAACTTTGTACCCCGTTGAACACCACGTATAATTTACAACTTTTATTTTTACTCTTGAAGCCATTTCTGAGTAATTATATCGATTTAGTCAGCCCTCACCCTATAATAGTCAATAATAGACTAGACATTTTTGGTAAATATAAATACGACTGTACAGCCAGCCTGTGAAGATGATTTCGTCGATAAAGAAAATTTTCTTCGCTGGATGAATTCCTCTTTTATTTTCTTCATGGCTCAATGGGTATTTTTGGTTACTCTAATAAAAATACTTGGACTTTAATTCATTCAAAGTACAATCGGTGGTAACGATAGATTTAGTGAAATGTCGATATAGTCAGGCCAGGAGAGAGCCTAACTAGTAGACTGGAAGATTTAAATAACGAAATCAAACAGATAAAGGAAGTATTACTAGTGAATAACTACTCACCAGAATTTGTTCAGAAATATATGAAGAACCATAGGAAAACTAGGATTAGCAATAAAAACGATGAAAATGATATAGAATTCAAAGCCTCTCTGTATCACTAACGTCTACAGAAGGGACATCAGAGGTCTAGTGTAGAATTCTCAATGATGCTGGAATTAGGATGCCGATCAAACTAACCAACTAACTCTCTTGCACAAATAAACTTTGTCAGTTTAAAGATCAGATAGATCCAGTTAAGAAAAATAATGTAATTTACCAAATACCCTGTAATGACTGTTAGTGAGGTTAGTTAAAATAGGTCAGTCAAACTAGTCGATCGGGGTCAACTAGATTATTGAAGCATCAAACTCTAGCTAGATCTAGAATAATTGACCCTGCTAAGTTAGATAACCCAGAAAAAAAACAGAGCTCAGCCATTGTACTGCATTCACTTGCATGTAATCACACACAGTGTAGGGTGGGTGAGACAGGGGGAGAGTATTAAAAAGTAATGTAGTTAGGTGGAGTAACTTACTTTACTTCGGCTATCTCCTAGGGGAGGATGAGCCGGCTTCATGAACATCTCGAATCATCGCTATCCAGATGCAGTGATCTGATGCAAAGTTTTGCGACAGTGTTATGCAATTCTTGTTCCACAGACGGAGTCCGTAGACGGTTTGTAGCCCCAGGCACTCCATATCAGCCTTGACTGTACCAAGCCATGTTTTCAGCTGTCCACCCCTACGACATCGCCATAATGGAAATGGCGAGGGATTTAGAACTGGTTTGACCAGATCGTCATCTGGTCGGTGCAGAACATGGCCAAACCACCGAAGGCGACGTTGTTGGACCAGTACTGGAATTTGGTTGATGCTGTAGAGAGTTCATGAAGTTTCATGGGAATTAGGTACGAGTGATGTGTCCTCAGAATCGCCCGGCCTTTTGTTTGAGAGTGCAGCTCTAGCCTTTACACAACCAACTGTGACCTACAAGGCAGTAGGAGTGGAGTTGGGAGTCCACTATCCATTGGAAGCCAGCCAGTGACCGGAGTCCGGTTCATACGCCTTTTTGAATGGGGCCAGACATCCAGGGCATCTAATAAGCCCTTTGTCCATACGTCTGCCGGTGAGCTCCGGTGAGCTTCATACGCCAGTCGTTGGAGGTTTGGAATCAGGGTTTAGCCATCTCCCCCAGACTGTCATGCAATGGACAGTCAACCCGGTGAAGAGCGCCGGGCATCCGCTGTTGCCCTCTCACTTCGGTGGAAAACACCTCCGCCACGTGAAGGCAGTGAGTAGGACTTCCTCAGGAGAGGCTATGTAAGACGCCTGGTCATATGGGAGCATTTCAAGAGGTGTGCGGAGGGGTGGCCAACCCGCAGCTCAAGGCACCCACCCCGACCATCCTGAGGCTTTGAAGTAAGAAAGAGGTTAATCACTGAATCTTGATTCAACACCACAAAAATGCAGTCAGAGTGACTCAACGCCTACGATACCTCAGATATAGAAAGTGGCAAAAAACAACAAGGCGAAGTTTGAGGAAGAGAAGGAGAGACAGAAATATATATATCAGACAAATTTTGAAATCGTTTAACTGAAATTATATAACTATGAGCAATAAACTTAGGTCGAAACCTTGTCATCCAGTTGTTATTAATACTGACTGCATCATCACTGTGTGTGATGTTTAAAATGAGAAATTATTATTTCCTTTAGTTCCTAGAGGAACATAGGGCTTCAGCTGCGCACCTCCATTGCCTTCGGTTTTCTGACAACTTTTTCACCCCGCTCCAGGTCTGTCCACATGCTTTCATCTCCTCCTCG